TATTTTTGAAGTTCATCACAGAATGAATCTTAATGTCTGTGCAAGGTACCGTATATACTCGCCTATAAGTCGGTTGTATTTTTTACGGTTATTTGGCAGGGATTTGTCATTGACCCGCTTATAAGACAGTACAATTTTTCGCCAAAATCAGATGACAATTTCCAATAAATGCTGTGATGTTTTACCCTAATTTTTAATTATTTTTTAAGAAATGAAGTCGATATTCATTTTTAAATCATAAAAAATAAATACTGCCCTTTTAAGATTAAAAATGTATCTTATGTATAATTTTATAATACATATATGATATAATAAATCCAAATTTTGTTCAACGATAGCTGTTGAATATGTTTATAGAATACTATGATTTGCCATCCAGAAAAATTCCTGTCTTTTTATAACTCGCCTATAAGTCGGACATAGACTTTTGAACTAAAATTTAACACCAAAAATACCGACTTATAGGCGAGTATATACGGTACTTGAACAGTTGAATGTGGTCCCAAACACATAATTACGAGGGTTGTTCGAAAAGTTCGCGGACTCCTGTCACATCTCTTATTTTTTATTTCACGCCATATCCTACATGTAACAGAATTTGGTAGCAACATTTTAACAATAAATTCAAAAGATATGTAAAAAAAATTCTAGGACGACTAATTTCAAGCCTATCTAGCATTTAAAATTGCCAAAATTGGACCGCAGATCGACAAAAATGATGACCTTGTTGAACATTACAGAGCAGAAGATAACGATGCAATTTTGTGTTCCACTCGGAAAAAATCCGAACAACTGAAGAAATGTTAAAGGAAATAACAAGAGGCCCATGGACCACATCGCTCACCTAAGCACTGTGGCTAGGAAAAAGTAGAAATGGGTTAATTATTGAAAAGTTTAAATCCAAAAGTAGTCACATGACCAATCAAGGATTTGCTATTCTTGAGAAAATGATTTTTAAAGATTTTTCCGATATATACCTATGTAAAACTTTGATTGGCCATTGTGGCTCAGCCTTACCCCCCGGGGGTCATGATTTGAACAAACTTGAATTTACACTACCTCAGGATGCTTCCATATAAATATGATCAATTATGGGTTTGCTATTCTTAAGAAGATTTTAAAAAAAGAATTTCCTATATAATTCTATGAAAAACTTTGGTAGGCCATTGTGGCCCCGCCCTACCCCGGGGGTCATGATTTGAACAAACTTGAATCTACACTACCTGAGGATGCTTCCATATAAATATGATCAATTATGGCTTTGTGATTTTTGAGAGGAAGATTTTTAAAGAATTTTCCTATATTTCTATGTAAAACTTTGGTCAGCCATTGTGGCCCCGCCCTACCCCCGGGGGTCATGATTTGAACAAACTTGAATCTACACTACCTGAGGATGCTTCCATATAAATTTGGTCAATTATGGCTTTGTTATTCTTAAGAAGAATATTTTTAAAGAATTTTCCTATATATTTCTATGTAAAACTTTGGTCGGCCATTTGAACAAACTTGAATCTACACTACCTGAGGATGCTTCCCCATACGTTTCATCTTTCCTGGCACAGTGGTTCTTGAGAAGATTTTTAAAATTTTCACTAATTCGCAATTATCTCCTCTTTGATTGAGGACGTGGCTCTTCATTTGAACAAAACTTGAATCCCCTTAACCCAAGGATGCTTTGTGGCAAGTTTGGTTGAAATTGGCCCAGTGGTTCTTGAGAAGAAGTTGAAAAGGTGAAAAGTTTACAGACAGACGGACGCAGGACAAAATGTGATCAGAAAAGCTCACTTGGGCCTTCGGCTAAGGTGAGCTAAACATTATGTCACAAATAAGTCGAGCATGTGTTTATAAATGGTATAAATGGTACAGGGGGATTAAGTGAAGTTTTGGTGGACAATACACTTGAAAATGTTTTTTTATAAAATATGAAAACTTTAAAAATTGGAACATTGAAAGCGAACCTTTTTTTTCTTTTTTTAAAAGCACTAAAGTGGAAAAAGAAATAAAACAATACAAAGGTAATAATCAAAAAACAATTTTAAAAAATGAATTCCAAATGCAAAAAAGAAATTTTTAATATACTTTTTAAAATTAATTCTTGTTTAACGTCATCCGCACATGTAGGTTTTGGAGAAAATCGTCTTTGATTGATTTTTTATATTGTTTAACGTCCCTCTCGAGAATGTTTCACTCTATGGAACCCTAAAAAAACAAAAGATTATTTTCGAAATCCTTCCTTTTTAGTTCTACATTTAGCACTCAATTCTATCTCGTATTGACAGAAAATGTGTTTTAATACCGCGTGATGATTTGGTGTTTGATTAAAAGAAAAGTAGTAAATTAAACAGAATAGGATCATAAAATTAATGTAAGTAAAAAAGGATTTTTTAATATTAAAATGGCAAATCTAATTTGCTGATTTCTTTTGTCAGTCATCGAATCACATGTACACTCTGCGACGATAACAGACTCTCATTCGTGATAATGATGGCTAACTTTCATGGTATTTTGGAAGAAATTCAAAACTTTTTACTGAGTGCAAAGTGTTACGAAATTTATATACAGTGAGATCAACATTTAAATTTTATAAATAGCTTCATCATGTTCATTTTAAATATTTCTGAAAAAATTAAAGGAATAATAATTAGTAAGATAATGGATTTCTTCATAATTCATACACCAATAAATACCGTATAAGTAGAATTTTTCGAGGATTTAATTTTGACATTATAAATAAAGGGTGCTGATATCGTGAAATTGAATATCGCTAAATATTAATTGCGTATTATTTATAAAAGCTTTTTATCGCATGATAAAACCCCTAAAATTACTTTTCGCTAAAAATAAAATACCAGATTTGGGTAAATTGTTAAATTTCTCTCTTTAAAATTTTCCACTTTCGGTGTTATTTTTGGAGAAGATAATACAATTCTTTGTCATTTGAGCAGTGTGAATCTTTAGAAAATAAGGCCTTTCAATTGAAGGAAGCAAGGAAATTTTTTTCCAAAAAATCCGAAAAACCTTGTCTTGTATGTGAAATTGAAGGTATTAAGAATAAATATATGTAATAGCTATACCCAGATATTACAATTTACACTTTCAAAACTAAATGCTTGTATTTTAGAAGTTTAGAAACTAGAAAACTAACAAGTAGCAACCCCCGCCATGGGGTAGAAAAAATGGCTTACAGATTGATTAATAAGCAACAGCAACTCATGAACTGTATTCTTAAAACTTAAGATAATTCCTGAATATTTAAAAACCTGAAAATAATATCCTTGTACATGTATTCATTAAAGAAAGAACAACTTAACATTGAATGTATATTTAAACAATTATGAAGTTTTGTGTCATATAAATGCCACCCTTTTAATGAATGCAAATATCATGAAGGCTTGACCTCTCTTCAAACAAACAGCAGTTGCAGACAAAGGTTTTCATTAATCTTGAAGTGACAGATAAAGAAAACCCTCAAAATTTTCTCAGCAGGCTAGATAATTAATCCCAAGGGATTAATTGTCCTTCTCATATTTTCTTCTAAATTTACAATAAGATTTTTTTAGTGTTAAAGATAAATGAAATTTTTTTACAACTACATGTACATTAAAAATTTAAATTTTCATGTATTTTAATTTAAAATTTTTGAAAAAGTAAAAAATAAATTTAAAAAATCTTCTTTAATCTATTTCTTTTTTTTTTTTTTTGAATTCAATGAAATCATAACTATAAAAAAAATAAATTATAAAAATTTATATTTAAATCCACATTTCAAAGTGTTCATAGCATTCCAAATTGATTTAACTTCAAACAAATTCATTTCAGACAGAGTTTGGGAATTAATTCAATGTGACAGATAAAGATAACGCTCTGGATTTTTCAGGAGGAAAGCTAATTAATCTCAAGGGACTTCTAGCAGCATAACAAATTAACAATGGGAACATCTTCAGAAGTTTTTTTTTGCCAATGCATTCTTATATTAAGTTAAGGAATTACCCACCACCCCCGCTCCCAAAACCCTGGGACATAGAGAACCAAACTTAACATTAAAATATGTATTTCTGTTTCTGAAGTACTGTACCAAAATTTTACGATTGGGCCCCTAAAAAAATTATTCATTCATTCTTATGCATAATTAAGGAATCTCCCACCACCCCACCTCTAAACCAGAAGACTAAAAACCAAACTTAGCATCAAAAAATTTTTTTTGCCTACTGAACTACCATTACAAATTTGAACTTGATTGGGCAACCTAAAAAAGTTATTAAAAAAAAAGAAAATTTGTGGACGGAAGAGTGACAGACGGACAGACGACGGGCAACGGGCGGGCGACAAGTGATTATATAGGGGACCCGCAAATCCTTCGGGGCCCTAAAAATACAACATAATTCATTCATCAATTTCAAAATATTTCACTATAAAAATGTATTAAATATTGTCATCATAATTTTAATTGAAGATATTGATTAACTTTTCCCAAGAAAAAAGCATTTCCTTTCAGGGAACAATTTTTGTACCATGGATGTGTGGCAATATAAATCCTAAGGACTGAGGCCTAGTAAATAGCCACTTTCCTGCACATTTAGTCTACATTGCTTGGTCACAAAAGGATTCTAAGGAAAAACTCTGCCAGGAATTATAAACTTAAGTGTCACATCCCATACTCTTATCACTCAGTTGTACTGTTTTTTTTAATGTACTGAGTAGGTTTATTTAAATAAATTCACAATTGTTTGAAATTTTTGTTTGTTTATTTTTTCCCTCCCTCTCTCGTAGGTTTTGAACTTTAGATGTGATGTTAAACGTAGAATAAATTTTGAACAGCCTAAGTGAACTTTACTGTTGAATTGTATAGGGATAGTATTAAAAAGAAATTCTTGACGCTATTTCAAGTCTTCTCAAAGGGTACAAGACAAGTAAATTAATTTCTATTCAATCGAATGAAATGAAACTTAATACATCAACAAAACAAATATTTTTACACGGAATATTTAGCTTATTTTAAATTTCTTGAAAGAAGTATAAAATTGACATCGTCCAGGAATTTTTCGAACAACCCTCTTATAAGGTTTTCATATATATGATAAAACATATGGAGATAATGAACAGTATTCACCATTAAAGGTCCATGAAACAACACAAAATAGGGTCACAGGAAACAATGACCTCTAAAATATTAGAGGAGGGATCAGGTACTATGGGGGAGTGAGCATGCACTGCAAACCGGTGATGTGTTTCTTAAGTCTCTTATACAGAGAATATATACCTTCTCACTCATATACCTGGTATCCTATTCCCGAGGTTTATGACCTGAATGTATCTTTTCGTGAACCTGTAAGTTGCTGGATAGATTGAATGCCTTCCCACACACATTATATTCATCCAGTTTACAACCTGTATGTATCCTCATATGTGAGTGTAAGTTACTTAATTGTTTGAATGCCCTTTTACATACATCACATTCAAAAAGTTCTCGTCAGGGTGTTTTCTCTTCATGTGTTTATTTAAATCCCCCTTTTCACAAAACGCTTTCTTACACAAACCACATATGTAAGGTTTCTCACCTATATGTATCCTACCATGTCTTTTTAAGTTACTTGAACACTGGAATGACTTTCCACATACGTTACATACGTGAGGATGATCCTTAACGACATCTGAATGCGTCCTCATGTGTGTCTTAAAGTGACATGACTGGCTGAATGCTTTCCCACATAAATCACATTTATAAGGTTTTTCACCTGTATGAGTCCTCATGTGCGAACGTAAGTTACTTAACTGGTAGGTTTCCTTTCCACACAAATCACATTTATAAGGTTTATCACCAGTATGTGTCCTTATGTGTGCCTGTAAGATATGTGACTGTGTGAATGCCTTCCCACACATACTGCATTTATAAGGTTTATCACCTGTGTGTATTCTGACATGTATCTGTAAAGTACCTGCCCTGTTGAATGCCTTCCCACACACATCACATTTATGAGGCTTATCACAAGTACGCATTCTACTGTGTCTTTGAAAGTCATCTGAATGTTTGAAAGTTTTCCCGCAAATGCTACATTCATAAGAGTTCTCGCCTGCAAGAATATTGGTGCCATTTTTTAAATATTCTGTTTGATTGTCATCAAAGCTATAGTCGTTTAATGTTCCGGCATTGCTTTCAGTATGTGAAGTATGTCCATTCACATCATAATTCAAAGGTTTATCACATGTATGTATCCTTTTGTGTGTCTGTAATTTACTTAAGTCAGAGAAATCCTTCTTACATACATCACATTCAAAAGGTTTTTCACCTGTGTGTATCCTGGTGTGAACTTGTAAGTTCCCTTTACTGTTGAAAGCCTTCCCACACACGTCACATTTATATGGTTTTTCACCTGTATGTGTTCTCATGTGTGACTTTAGGTAACGTGACTGACTGAATGTCTTCCCGCACTCCTCACATTTATATGGTTTAACACCAGTATGAATCATGCCATGCCTCTTTAAGTCAACTGACTGTCTGAAAGCCTTTCCACAAACATCACATTTATAAGGTTTATCACCTGTATGTATCCTCATGTGTGTCTGTAAGGTATTTGGTCTGTTGAATGCATTCCCACACACATCACATTTATAAGGTGTATCACCTGTATGTGTCGTCATGTGGGCCTGTAAGGTACTTGCCTGAGTGAATGCTTTCCAACACACATCACATTTATAAGGTTTATCACCTGTATGTATCCTTAGGTGTGCCTTTAAGATATGTAACCTGTTAAATGCTTTCCCACACACATCACATTTATATGGTTTATCACCTGTATGTATCCTCATGTGTTTCTGTAAGTCACTTGAGCGTATTAATGCCTTTCCACAAACATAACATTTATAAGGTTTATCACCTGTGTGTATTCTCATGTGATCCTCTAAGTGATGTGATAGTTTGAATGCTTTGCCACACACATCACAGTTATAAGGTTTAATACCTGTATGTGTTTTCATGTGTCTCTGTATATCACATTGGTGTTTGAATGCCTTTCCACACACATCACATTTATGACGTTTATCACCTGAATGTATACTCATGTGTCTCCGTAACTCGTGTGGATGATTAAACGTTTTCCTACAAATGTTACATTCATTGGGACTTTTACTTTCACAAGTATTTATGGATTGTTTGAAATTCCCAAATTCAGTTTCATTTAAACTATATTTTACATTCCCAGGATTACTTTCTAATCCGGATACAAAACTGCCTCGTCTTTCTGTAAATGTGAGAAATCAATTTTAATGCTTTTTCAAGGTATTTATCGTAAAGATATCATGAGGCCCATGGGCCACTCGTTCATCTGAGTGACTCGGGTCATGTTTTTTGTTTACCAGATGCCCCCCTTGTAATACACCCTACCCCTGGGGTCGGGGTTTGAAAGTTAAGAATCACTACTACTTCTGACAGGTTGTTTCCACTTAAGTCTTTGCTTTTCTGGCCCAGAGGCTTTTTGAAAAAAATATTAAAGACCTTTTCCTATGTAATTGTACTTTAAAGTAAGACTTGGGTTCTCTTTTTCCCCTTTCTCATAGTCATTTTTTAAACTACAATACCTACGGATGCTTTTTTGCCATGTGATACTTGGGAATTTTAAAAAGATTTTTATCTATTTTTTGAATACAAGGGTAATGGGCCTTATGGGTACCTGAGCATCATGTAACATTTTTCCAACCATTGAATTGGTTCATCTTAAAAACCATTGGCCATGAAATTTACATTTTTGAAAGAGAAACCACTGTTCATCATTACTATATACTAAGCATGCTTAGTTTGATTACTTAATACCCACAGACAAAGTAAGGACACAAAAAATGCATTTTCAACCAATCAATAATAACAAGCAATAATCAGCTGTGTAACTATGTAAGACACAGGAACCCTTCGACCAGGAGCCATGAAATTCATAATTCTGGGGGGAAAATACTATTGCACATCATATCTATATAAGTAGTTCACCTGCTTTATTCTTTGGAGCAGACAAGAAAATTTTCAAATAATTTATACGTTTTCACTATATCATTGAAGCCCGGAGGAACGGGCTGCTCTATACATATAAGTTAAAGTGTTGGTGTATGGAGATTGAGATAGGGAAGTTATTCAGAATCAAAGATTTTCTAACATTTAAAAAAGATTGTCTATCAGAATGTTCTTTCCCTTTACAAATTACGAGATTCATTATATATTTACTTCCATAAGGTGAATTTGTAAAAATATATATGTTTTTCATATTTAAAATATAAAGTTGTTTATCATCTGCTATCGAAAAAAACGATATATCCCCTTTTTAGAACATAGAATTTTACCTATCGCATAAAAACGTGTTCTACACAGTTCATTTCTTATATTCTTAAGGTGAAATATATTTTTGAATATATGTGATGCATGTATCTGGTTTCAATTTATATTTTATGCAGACATCATTTACTTGAAGAATTGATAAAGTTTATAAAGGGTATTGTTTTTGTTCGATTTTCATCCAACTATAAGTTTTCAATAAATTCTCAAATATCGTCTCCATCATTAAGACGCATGCCTTTTCCATATCGAAGCGGTTTGATGATCAAGACTCATTTCCAATGTTTACTTTATTTATTTCCCGGGCGACACTTGATGGATACATCAGTGTTTCCTTGTTTGTATGGATGTGCCATAACATCAGAAAGCTGTGACACTGTGAACATGAAATTCAGAATTTTGGAAGAGTCAACCTTTCCATCATAAACATTGAATAAAGTAACTTAGTTTAATATCCAGGAGCAGAGAAAAAGATTTTCAAAATATTACTGCATTTTCCTCATTTAATTCATATAGTCCAAACTTAATATTAGAACGGTGCAACCCCTGACCGCGGGGCTATGAAATTTACAATTTTTGAAAAGGCACCCTTCCTCATCATAACTTTGTCTGAAATTAGTCAAACTTTGTCTGAAATACCACAATTTTCAAGGAATAAATGCATTGTCACTTAACTTTATTTTCAATAAAACCCCACCTTAACACCAGAACACCTGAGCCACGAGCCATGAAATTCACAATTCTATAAGCCTATTCTCCTCATCATAATCATGTATAAATAAACTTATTTACTACCTGGGAGCAGAGAAGAAGATTTTCAAAGAATTAATGCATTTCCACTGAATATAATTTATAGCCCCACCTTTAAAAAACAAGAGGCAAAAGGGCCACAGCGCTCACCTGAGCACATTGGTTAGGAAAAAAGCACATAGCAGAGCAGAAGTAAAAGTTTACCGAGATTGGGAGGGGGGGGTGAATTTTAACCCCCGGGGGGATAATGATTTGAATGAACTAAAATCTACATCAACTGAGGATGATTCCATATAAATATAAAGTGCCAGGCCACAGCATGATACGCCCATCAAAAATTACAATTAACTTAAAACAGTTTAGAGTGCAAAAAAATCATGTAAACCTTGATTCTAAAATTTCAAGGATTTTTGCTATTCCTTAAAATATTTGTTTATCCATCCCCTGTGATGCAGGCATTTATCATAACAAATAACATCATTGATAGATTTCTAAACTGGTTGTATTAGACCTTGTCAAATGCACATCATATTAAGCAATATCAAATTAGTCTTAACAACTTAATCTATACCAAATCAATTTTGAAAATAAAAGGCTGGCCATCAAATGACATATGCTATTTAAACTGACCAGCAGTTTTTCTGTCTAATTCCCAAAGGATACAGATAAAAAGATGCTAACTAGCCTTCCTAAATTGAGCTCATTAATCTACCATAAGATATTCTTAAATCATATCATTTAAAATACTCAATGATTTTTTTTAAACATTTAATAATGTCAGAAAGGTTTTCTATGGAAAATGGACATGCTGATTCCACCCCTATGAAATTAATTTTTAAATTAATAATATGATATAATATTATATTAGTTTATTATGCAATATCAAATTAATGTAAAATTACTTTTCATCAAATTCATTTTAAAACTTAAGCTAGCCAACAAGACCTATTTTTTATTCACCAGGCTTATACCCATCTGCCAAATTCCCAAAGGGATATAGATAACATCAATGCTCTCCAGTTAGCTCCTCACACTAAACTCATTAATTTCTCTCTAATTTGACATGCAGTTTTCTGTTATAAAACTATTGACCAGTGCTTGTAATTACATCATGGAAGCATGGGATTCTCTCACATACAATATATTTTTTTATAATTCTCCAAGTATATGTAAAAAAAAAAGTATTTTCTTGATTTAACACTTTTTTAAAGCCATATATGGGGTATGTCAATGAAAATTATTAGACCAAAATTATTAAACTTTTTTTGTATCATTACATTATATAAAATAAATTTTCTGTAAATTACAAAATCTAAGTCAATTGTGATATAAAGATATCACAATTTAATTTTTTTGGGAATTTTTTAAAATGGAAGAAAATACATAAGATTTAAATAACACAATACAGAAAAGATAAAATCGTAATATTAGATGAAACGAGGTGTTTCTTTTAAGAATTGTAAGAGAAGCTTTAATTTGAATGTATTACCTATATTTCTTTGATTAATTTTGTATTTTGAAAAAATATATTATTTTGATTAGTTACGCCATATATGGCTTTAATAAGGATACAACTAAATTTTTACATTTTTTTGGATTATGAAATGCAAAATTTAAAACACTTATTTTTTTTTTTAAAATTTACTTAAATTAAAGGTCACAGTGACCTTGAAATAGGTTACACATTTTTTACCCAAGATGTATACTTTTCCAAGTCTGAAATTTTAGGGCTAATAGTTTACTAGTTATAGTCTTCCAGGATATTTCCATATTTGGCCAAAGCATCTTAATTAAAAGTCAGAGGGACCTTCTTTTTTGGGGAACACCCTAACCCCAAAAAGTATCAGTTGACAAAGTTTGATAATCCTAGGCCCAATAGTATTGAAGTAATAGCTGGACATGAATGGACAGATGGACAAGGGGAAAGGACATGAAGCCTATAACATCCCGTCTTTAGACGAGCGTATAATTACTAATCATGGCTTTGAATACATGAAAAGCAGATTT